TGAACAAAGATGGAAAACTTATCTTCATTATTAATTTCTAAAGAATTCTTTTTCAGTGGCCATTGTTGTGAAAGCTCAGAATTGAACTCAACTGTTGAAAAAATTGAACCTAAAAGCCGAAGCAATCAGACATGTTAAGAAAGAAGAATCAAAAGAAAAGAATGAGAAATGTAAAATTAGCATAGACAGCTTTTAAGGCAAATTTGATGGTCTAAGCTCCTAAAGATATAGTGGCTGCAATGTTAAGGCGAGATAGACTGAGTTGACTATACTGAATTATTTTACTTGTATGAGTAAAGTTTACTAAAGTGTGCTTAGGAAAATCATTTTTTTTTTTTTGTTTATTTTTTTTCTTCATTCTTTATACGCTGTCAGCAGTACATTTGTCAATCAAAAAAAGCCCTTAGAAAGAGGGGATGATTGGAAATTGTCATTATTAATGTTTAAATGGTTGACTAAAATTATAGTTTCAGAAATGTCCAAAAAAAAACAAGTGGAATTCAAAACTGGCTACACTGGATGATTCCAGAAACTGAATTCCAAATTAACAGTTATCGATTCAGACGCAACCAAATAAGTGTATCCAAACAGTAATCTATTCAAAATTTGAGATATCGTTATGTTACCAATACATCTTTAAAGTGTTTTTTCGTAAGTGTTTTTTTGTTTTTTCGTGTTTTTGCGTAGAATGAGAAATGTAAAATTAGCTTAGACAGCTTTTGAGGCAAATTTGATGGTCTAAGCTCCTAAAGATAAAGTGGCTGCAATGCTAAGGGGAGATAGAAAAAAAAGTCAGGCTACTGCATTCAATTCAATTTCTTTTCCATTTAAAGTTGAAAAAAACTCTATTGAACTGAACAGTCAAAAACATTCATGAAGAGCAATTGATGACTGATAGATAAATGTCCGCTAAGATCCATAAGGAGAAGATGTGATAATAGAGCACAAAATAAGTGAATATTGTACTGTAAACTATAGATAACAGTGAAATTTGCAAAGCGAATACACCTACTCGGCTAAACTCCTGGATAGCATTGACGAGTATTTCACTGAACTAAACCATAGAATAGTCACTTCTAGTCGTAGTAACAACGTCCAAAGAACAGCAGTTTCAATTCTGATAACGAAGAAAGAAAAAAAAAAAAAAAAAAGAGGATAAAGTATTCTATTATATCTCACCAGCTTGACCTTGCCGTGTTCATTTAAAAAGAGTAAAACAAAGAATTACGTAGATCTAGCAGAAATTGTCATAGATTTTTTAGTACTGAATAACTTTCGCTTTTTTTTTCTCTTTATTTTTTCCTCAAAATATTTCAAACAAGCAAAAAAGAGGCCAGCGGTTAAGCAACCATAAATAACAACAGAAAGCGCAGCAGAAGCAAAATGACAAAATGTGTTTAGGGTAGAATTTTTATCGAAAATCGAAAGTCGTGAGTGCTTTGAACAATCCTTGAGCATTAAAACCTCAATCAACGAAGGTCTAAACACTATTGCACACACTTATATATACATGGGCAAATCACATAAATAACCACAGTATTTTATGTTTAAAAAAATTTTCCGCAAAACTACTTCAGTGCCCATTCACTTCAGTGCCCATTCCAATATAACTTCT